GGGTGAGTGGGCGCTGCAGCTGCTACACTGTGGAAGAGGCAATGGGGACATGGCAGAAGGGGGAAAGCATGGGCTCTGCAGTAACCTCAGCAACCCTGCACTGATGACCCTTTGATCCTCTCCTGATGTCTCCAAGGGCACAGCTGCTCTTATACATTACAGCTCCTAGCTGGATGCCAGTGGCTCACACCTGTCACCCTAGCTGCTCAGGAGGCTGAGATCTGAGGATCGTCATTCAAAGCCAGCTTAAGCAGACAAACAGGAGAGACTCTTGTCTCCAATTAACCAACACAAAGCTAGAAATGGAACTGCGGCTCAAGTGGGAGCACCACCTTGAGGGGAAAAACTAAGAGGGTAGCAGACAGGCCTTAAATTCAAGCCTAGTAGTGGCACTAGAAAACAAACAAATGTAGTTCCTCTGTGCCCTGGGGGAGCAAATAGAGTTTGTTCTCTTGGTAATTAACTGTTTGGTGCACAATACAAGAAGAGAGGAAGAGGGAGATTGAGATGAGATGAAGCCAGGCACCAGCGGCTCACGCCTGTAATCCTAACTGATCTGGAGGCTGAGACCTGAGGATGGAAGTGAGAAGCCAGCCCAGGCAGGAAATAGGAGAGAGTCTCATCTCCACTAAACTCCCTAAAAAGCTGGAAGTTCAGTAGTAGAGCACTAGCCTTGCGCAAGCTCAGGGACAATACCCATGTCCTGAGTTCAAATCCCAGGACCAGCACACAAAGAATAAATAGAAAGAACAACTCAGAGTTGCATGCATGAAGAGCAAAGGCCTGGGCCCAGTCCCAGTGTGCTGAGGAAGGGCATTCCCATCCCCCCCCCCCACCACCACTTCAGACTAGCAAAGGCTGCTTCCCAGGAGGTAGAGGCTGCTCCCAAGTCTGTTTCCATGACAACAGCATGAAGATTAGGTGTGATCAACATCCTCAAAGATACCTGTTAGAGTAAATTAGACTTTGCCAGAAAACCAAGCAGACAAAGAAAAGGTTTGTTGCCTGGAAAGGGACCCACAAAAGCCCTCGTCACAAGAGAGAAGCAGCTGACTATTGTATCCTGTGACCTTTTATAACCTACAAGGTTTAGGAGGCGGGGGCCCCTGGTGTGGACATGTGGATCAGGGGCTTCATCATGGCAGACTGCCCAAATAGTGTATTTATGGCTGCTGCCCAAATAGTAGATAAGGGTTCTGCAGCTGCCCAGACCTGAAGGTCAACTTTAAGGGGCTCTTGTTGTCTTATATGGTGGTAGCTGCCCCCAGAGAAGTGTCATCTCAAGGTAAAGAGGGTGGAGGCTGATTATCCACTGTTTTTACTAAATGGGCCTTCTGTTGCCTAGGAAAGGAGCATGCTAAGCTGTGTGAAGGGAGCTTATTGGGCTAAAATACCTCTCGTGGCCTGCATTTCCTTCACTGCCACTGCTTGCAAGTAATTGATGACAGGGAAACAGTTGTGTTTGTACTGTGTCAGAATCACACTGAGGTCATTGATTCAAACTCAGGGAAGTGGCGCTGTGGCTCAAGTGGTAGAATGCTAGCCTTGAGCACAAAGAGGCTTAGAGACAGTGCCCAGGCTCTGAGTTTAAGCCCCAGGACTGGTAGACACACATACACACACACACAGATTCAAACTCAGGCATTTGTGGCTCATGCCTGTAATCCTATCTACTTAAGAGACTGAGGATTAGTTCAAAACCAGCCCAGTGGGAAAAGTCCAAGAGACTTTTATGGCCAATTAACCAGCAAAACGCCAGAAGTAGAGCTGTGACTCAAGTGATAGAGCACCAGCCTTGAGCAAAAAAATTCAAGAATAGTACCTAGGCCCTGAGTTCAAGCCCCAGAACTGGCGCAAGCGCATGCGAGCACACGTGCGCGCGCGCACACACACACACACACACACACACACACACACAAATCTACCAGGGAAAAGTTGCTACATACACAACCCCCCTTTGCTTCTGGCTCTGGATACTATCTCCCCACAATCTATCCACCTACTGAGTCTACATTAGGCCCCTAATCCCTTATGCCTTCTGGGATCCAGCCTAATACACAGGTACTAGCATATCCAAATAGTTGAAGCTATGGTTTAGATCTAAAACGTTCACCCCAAAGTCTTAGGTGAGGACTTTGAACTCAGCAGGTAGTGTCCCTACCACTCTAGAAGTGGGGATCTCACTGGAGGAAATGAATCAGTGGGGCAGGCCTTGCAACCACCTTCTCCCTGTCTCTTACTTGTCTGACCCTCTCCCCCTTCCTCTTTTCTCTTTCCTCCTTCCTTCCCTTTTTCTCCCTTCCTTCCTTCCATTCCTTTTCCTCTTCTTTTCTTTCCTTCCTTCTCCTCCACCTCCTCTTTTCTCCCCTTCCTTACTCTTCTTTTTCCTATTTCTTTTCATCTTTTTCTACTCTTCTTTTTCTTGTTCATGCTCTCTCCTCTCTCCCCATCTGTTTCTCTCCTTCCTGACCATCATAAGATGAAAAACATGTCTCGTCTGTGTCTCTTTCTCCTTCCTGACCACCAGAAGGTGAAGAACTTCCTTCACCATGCACCTCCCCACCTCCATATTCTGTCTTCAGTAGTCTGTCTTCCAGCAACATTGGAGGGTAAAGCAGCTCCAAGTGATGGCGTGTCCCCAGCTGCAACACAGATGGCCTATTTGAGCCACAGTGGCAAATGTGTAACATAACTCTCAACATCCTGTTCAAACCAAAGCTCAACCTCAGCAGCTCATTTAACTATGAGTAGAATTTAGTGCAATCTTGATGAGAATGTTATGACTAGCCAGGCACCTGTGACTCACCCACATTTCAAACCGTAATCCTCAGATCTCAGCCTTCTGAGTATCTCGGATTACAGGAGTGAGAAACTGGCACCCAGTTTATCATTTCTTTTTCAGTCTCCCACTTCTTTCTTCTCCTGGACAGGGAGCTTCACTGTGTATGTGGCATCTTCTGTTACCCCCCCATCATTAATACTGGATAAAGGGTGGGTTTTGTGTGCAGGTTCTGAGTAGCTAGGATTACAGGCATGTACTGGTACCCGGTATGCTAATGGCTTTTTACCACCTGCCCCCAACTCCACATCTCAGCAAACATTGCATGCAGGAGATTGCAGAATCCTGGGCGTCAGTCTGCATTTTATTTTACAGTACATTCATGGAAGTTCCCGCATTGCCAAGGTAACCAGATCACATTCAGATTAGCAGTGCTGACACAACCACTACACCACTGCCCTGACTTCCAGAACCACAGGGGTGACGCACAGAACCACAGCTTTCTTTTTAATACTGCTGATGACAATACAGCCATCTACAATCATGACCTGTATGATCCAGTGTGAGCCAAGATTAAATCTTGGAGGACAGAGGGGGAAAGACAAGTTCTAAAGCCCCCTAAAATTCCCCAACGCCATCTGTGTTTTGTGAAAGGGGGAGTGTTCATTTTCCATGCCTACCTAGAGAAGGAATGAAAAATGAGTCATGCTACTCTGTAAGTCATAGCTTTTCAAGCTATTTGTGTAAAAAGCACTTGAACAACCTAAAATTTTTTTAAGGAGTTAATATGTATAAATAAGGAAGTTAATATGTATAAATAAGGAATAGCAATATACGGATCACTTGGGGGGAAAAAATACTGTCACTGATGGAAAATTGAAGTGGTACACATTTCACAAAAATGGAAAATGATGGATCACAGCTGGGAATGTCAGGTCCTGAAAGTATAAAAGACTTCATTTTGCTGAATTAAAACCTTCCGTCCACACCGTTCTCTACAAGTCATCTTACACCATTGCCCATCTGATATAGATCACCAATAAACCCAAGCCTTAAATTAGGATACTAGCTTGAAATTTAACATTGTCAAAGAACATCCAGATGTGAGAAAACACCGTAAGTTAGCTTTCTTGACCATCTTGCTAAAGAAAAATGTATCAGCTGAGTGGAGCTGTGGCTCAAGTGGCTCCAGCATGAAAATTCAGGGACAGCACCCAGGCCCTGAGTTCAAGTCCCAGAACTGCCATCAGGGGGAAAAAAGTATCAGCTGAGCTTCATGGCTCGTGCCTATAATCCCTGCTCTTAAAAAGCAGAGGCAGGTGTACTGTGAGCTTGAGACTAGCCTAAGACTGAGACCCTCCCTCTCCTAAAAAAAATAAAGATCCTAAAATGCTTTAGACTTCAGTGAAATAGCTGGAATGATGAGTTACTGAAGATGAAATCCACATCTGAAGACAGAGTGGGCTCACATAACATCTGTCTCCTAGATGTTCAAAGTGGGTTAGTACTGTACTTCACTGTGTAAACAAAACTTGCTGTTTGTTACCACTCATGGTCACTGAGTCCCAACTGCTCAACTTTTCAGAGTAGTCTCTGGCCAAGAAACTACTGAATATTGAAGTTGCCAAGTTCTGAACACAAGTGATACACATGGTTATTGATCCTGAAATACTTACCCCATTTCAAGTCAGAAAAACAAGATGAAAAAGGGAATAAAACAGGTGTGTGTGTGTGTGTGTGTGTGTGTGTGTGTGAGCGTGCCAGTATTGAGGTTTGCACTCACAACCTAGGCACTGTCCCTTAGCTTTTTCTAGCTCTACCACTTGAGCCACAGCTCTACTTCTGGCTTTCTGCTGCCTAGCGAGAGGTAAGAGTCTCACGAACTTTCCTGCCAGGGTTGGCTTTGAACTTCAATCCTTCAGATCGCAGCCTTGAGTAGCTAAGATTACAGGCACAAGCCACCGGCACGCAACAAAATACTTTTAAGAAAGTCACAAACAATGAAGAGCCAGAGCCAGTGCATATTTTGCAACCCTGAAGTGAGCCCCCTGCTCAAGAGTGGTCAAAGGTGGAGTTTTTTGAAATCAGAATGATTCTCAGTGTAAGTGCTCAACAGTAAATTCACAGAGGAAAATGTACAATATATCAACATATAACCAAAGTTTACAGTATATCTAGAAATACATTTTATGCTTTTTTAAAAAAAAAAGCTACAACACACTCCAGAAAATTTTTTCAGAGAATTCATGTACAACAGAAGGCACTGTTCCCACGTGGGTCCGCTGATTCTGCATGGCAAAATAACCTGAGACACACAGGCCTATTCAGTCCTCTAGAGGTCGTCTTGGGGCTTTCCAGCCTCTGGATGCTTTATCCTTTTCCATGTAATGATTTCTGTGTTGCCTTTAATTTCATACACGACAGTAGCTGTTGAGAAATACATACTTCAAGGTGAGAAGGGCCAAAGGGGAAAGGGAGAGTAGCTATGCCGGCACTGGCACCAAACGGGCACTCTGCAAAGCAGCTCCCTGTCTCCCTATCCTCGACCCTCACATGTCCACAGTCCAGTGTGAGATCAAATGCAGTGGTGACATGGGGACAGCTCTGATCCCGCCTTCATTCACTGCTGGGCACTGTTCCAAAGTTAAAGGCCGAGAGGACACCTTTGTTTTCAAATGTGAAGCCTCCTTGCAGTTCAATCTTCTTCTTTGCCTCTAGCAATACCAAAAGAGAAGGGAGGGAAGAAACAACAGTACTTCAAGTGAGAGTCAAAAATAACGGCAACAGCTGGGTGCCAATGCCCACACCTGTATTTCTAGCTACTCAGGAAGCTGAGATCTGATGAGCACAGTTCAAAGCCAGCTTGGGGGGGGGGGGGGAAGGGGAGGGCAGGAAAGTCTGTGAGATTCTTATCTCTAATAAACTACCGAAAACTGGAAGTGGTACTGTGCTCAAGTGGTAGAGTGCTAGCCTTGAGCTGAAGAGCTGAGGAACATCAACCCAGAGTTCAAGCCCCATGACCGACCAAAAAAAAAAACAAAACACACAACAAAAAACCGCAACAGAGCCATATTCATGTATGTGTGTGTGTGTGTGTGTGTGTGCGCGCGCACACACACATGCACACACATGCACGCACGCACGTGCTGGCCTGGGTCATATCCCTGAACTTTTGTGCTTAAGGCTAGTGATCTACCACTTTTGAGCTGCACCTCTATTTCTCCTGCCCAGGCTGGCTTTGAACCGTGATCCTCAGATCTCAGCCTCCTGAGTAGCTAGGATTACAGGCGTGAGCCACCAGAGCCCAGCAAACCAGATTCTTTATGCACTTAGAACTGGAACTCAAAGCATTAGTTAACTACTAAACTGAATATCAACATTTTTTTCCGTTTCCTTTTTTTTCCTGGTACTAGGACCTGAACTCAGGACCCCACTCTGACTCAGCACTCTACCACCTGATCCAGGCCTTCAGCCCAGCCTTCTGCTGGCTAACTGGAGATGGGGGTCTCTCAGATTTTTCTGCCTGAGCAATCTTTGATCCTCGAGATCTCAGCCTCCTGAGTAACTAGGACTGTAGGCATGAGCCATCAGACCAACAGCCATATGTAATGATGATTACTATCATTGGAAAAACTGTTTGAAGCTGGACTCCAAGAGCTTCATGGTCTCTCCTGCTGAAAGGGCTCAGATGTTGCAGACCAAAACTGGCACAGAATCTGACACTGTCTCCGCAGAGGAGTCCGAGTTCTCAACTCTTAACTGCCTAAATGATACTAAACAATTTGGTAATCACAGTCTTATCCATTGACAATCGAGGAATGGTTGTAATAATTTCAACATAAGAATCACCAACAAAGCCCAACAAACAAAGAACTACTATGACTTGGATCTTAATTGTACTAAAGGCCCATATGTGACAGAACTGGTTACCAGTCCATGGTTATAATGTGAGGTAGTTGAGCTTTTAAGAGGAAGAGACAAGCTGGACACCAGCTACTCCCACCTGTAATCCTAGCTACTTAGGATGCTGAGATCTGAGGATCACAGTTCAGGGCCAGGCTAGGCAGGAAAGTTGGAGAGACCTTTATCTCCAATTAACCACCAAAAAGCTAAAAGTAGAATTGTGGCTCAAGTGATAGAGCACCATTCTTAAGCTAAAAAGCTCAGGATCCCTAGGCCCATACCCAAGCACACACTCATACCCACACACACACACACACACACACACACAAAATCTCTTCATTCAGAAGAGGCAGGAAGACTAAGAGTTCAAGGCTAGGGGTCTGGGAAGACGGCTCAGTGGTAGAGCGCTTGCCTTGCTTGCCTGAGGCCCTGGATTCAATTCCTCAGCACCACATAAGCAAACAAAAGGAAAAAAAAAAGCCAGAAGTGGTGCTGTGGCTCAAGTGGTAGAGCACTAGCCTTGAGCTGAAGAGCTGAGGGACAGCACCCAGGCCCAGAGCTCAGGGCCCATGACCGGACCCCCCGCCCCCCCCCAAAAAAAAAAGAGAGTTCAAGGCTAGCCTGGTCTGACTACATATAGTGAGATCTCAAATCACACTCAAACAAACAGTAACAAAAAAAGACTACCACACAACAATGACAACTCCTCATTATTATAAATGGTTGGTGCTGGCCCTGGGGCTTGAACCAGGGCCCAGGGCCCCCACTTGCCTGTTTTGCTTAAAGCAGGCATTCTATCACTCAAGTCATAGCTCTATTTCCTGCTTTTTGGTGGTGAATTGGAGATAAGAATTTCATGGACTATCCTGCCTGCACTGGCTTCCAACTGTGATCCTGAGATCTCAGCCTCCTGATTAGCTAGAGTTATAGGTAGGAGCCACTGGCACTCAGCCTTTCCACAATCTGTTTTTTGTTTGTTTATGTGGTCCTGAGGAATCAAACCCAGGTCCCCATGCAGGTTAAGCAAGCACTCTACCACTAAGCCACATTTATAGCCTTTCTCCCCAATTTTTGAAACTGTATTTTGGTGCCACCTAGCTCATTGAACAAGGATCAACTAGTGCTCTGACGTGCATGCAGGGCAGAGATGGCTGGCTGACCTGCCACTGTCCTCCGATGCTCTGCCAGTGTGTACACCTCCTGTAGTGTTCTCTTCTGGTCTTCGCTGAGAGGTGCCATCAGTAGTTGGTACCAAGCCACATCCCGATTCTGAACAGCTGCACCATGGCAGTGGTGGGGAAGAGGAGGAGAGAAGGAGAACAGTGATGATCATATCAGAGGAAAACTAGTGGCATGCAATTATTTCAGATGGTAAGAGACAGGGTAAGAAAACCATCCTGACAAAGGATGATTGTATATGTGTATGTGCAGGTACTGGGGCTTGAACTCAGGACCCTGTGTTCTTGCTTAGCTTTTTCACTCATGTCTTCCACTTCATGTCTGTCTGTTGGTGGTTAACTGGAGATAGGAGGTGAACAGAACTTTCCTGCCCAGGCTGGAACCTTGATCCTCAGATCTCAGCCTTGTGGGTAGCAAGGATGACAGGCGTGAGCCACTGGTGCCTAGCTCCAACGATGATTTACAAGTGCCCGACTATGTGGGGTATCAAGGGAAGGTTAGGATAGCACAGATCTCTAGTTTGCCTAATTCTGTCTTCTTCTGAGAGTTTTCCTAACTACTGGTGTAGCCTCAAATGCAGACCTTAGCAAACCATGTCGGCACTTATTAACCTCTAACCTGGGTGCTCTCATTCCAGTCATAGCAGCAGCACTGCTTGTGAACCCAAGAGAGTAAAATTGACCCTTAATATGATCAATCTTATAAGGACTCCAGGCATTCAGTGAGTCCACAGGGGGACCCTCTTGGGGGAGAATACAAAGCCACAATTTTTGCTTCTGTGCCTCTGATCATAGCCAATATTATTTATTGAAGTGGCAATAAGAGGTTCTTTGCCTTTGTTTGCTCATTTATCTGTCTTCAGGAGGGTAAAGGGAGGCACAGAAATGGAGGGACAAAGGGTGAACAAATGCAGCAGTGATACTCGCTGGATGCTATGTTGAAAATGAACTCTACAACTTGTGGATGAGAACAGGAAGTAAAAACTGGGAGAGAGTAAGAGAAGAGGTGACACTGTCCAAAAAGAAATGCACTCATTACCTGACTTATGTAACTGTAGCCCTCTGTACATCACCTTTATAGTAACAAAAAATTAAACGTTAAAAAAAACTTAATTATCCTTTAGGCAGAATCCTCCCTTTCAGCACCCGGGCTTTGTTGCTTTGTTTGACCTCCAAACTTACCACAGACTCAGCACAAACGGCTACACTAAAAGGCTCGCTGCTGTCTCTCGCTCCGCATCTCCATTACGGGTTGTGCTTGTCTCCGAGGGAACCATGGCAAACCCCTTTCACACCGGAGGCCGTGCCCTGCCTCTTTCTTAGTGTCCTCCACCTACACACTTCTCCCATCACATTTCATCCTCTTCTCCAGGGTCCTATTATTCCTGTTAGAAACCTCCTAGCTGGCTGTAGTGACTCACACCAGGAGGCAGAGATCTGAGGATCATGGATCCAGCCAGCCAGAGCAGGAAAGTCTGTGAGACTCTTGCCTCCAATTAACCACCAAAAACCTGGAAGTAGAGCTGTTGCTGCAGTAAATGGCAGAGTGCTAGCCTTGAGCAAAAAAAACCAAACAAGTGAGAGCATGAGGCCCTGAGTTCAAGCCCTAGTACCAGCACAAAGAAACAAACAAAAAGAAAAGCCTAAATGTATTTTGGGCCAGATCCTAAAATAACTCCTAGCTAGAAGAAATTAAACAAGTTTAGCGGGAAAAAAAAATCTGAAGCCAAGAGCCAGTAGCTCACGCCTATAATGCTAGCTACTCAGGAGGCTGAGATCTAAGGATCATAGTTCAAAACCAGCCTGTGCAAGAAAGTCCATGAGACTCCTCTCTCCAATTAACCACCAGAAAATCAGAAGTGGAGCTGTGGCTGGAGTAGTAGAGCACTAGCCTTGAGCACAAAAGCTCAGGGATAACATGTAGGTCCCAAGTTCAAGGCCTGGCCCACATATACACACGCACATGCGCGTGCGTGCATCCGCACGCGCACACACACAGAGTGAAAATTCACAGCATAAAAACATACTTAGCAGAGCTTGAGTGAAAAATTGATATTCATCCACACTATTGTCTAGGTCAAGCGGAGTGCTGAATCCTTCCAGGGCCGTTTCCTCCAGGATTTCCTCCTCCCAGTCCTCGTCTTCATCTTCCTCATCCGCGCCTCGCCTATTCACAGACTGCATCGCCTGCACAGACACACTTTTCTCCTCCTCGTCACTGGAAATCTCCTCTGGAAATCAATCCATTCATGATTTAAAAGGAATCAAAGCACACAGTTCAAAATACAAAATAAGAAAGCAAAAGCAAGCACTATAAAATACTCTGAAAGTGGAAAAGCTACTGTATAATATCCCAAATCGCTGAGTATAGAATTTATCTTTACTGTAGTTTCCTAAAGTGACGCACAGAAAACAATTTCCTAAAATCAGTTGTCTAGCTGAACGTTACTGAAAACTTACTAATAATACTGTCTAAGCCAGGTACTAGTGGTTCACATCTATAATCCTAGCTATTCAGGAGGCTGAGCTCTTAGGTTTGTGGTTCGAAGCCAGCCTGGGCAGGAACATCTATAAGACTCATCTCCAATTAGCCATCAAAAAAAGCCAAAGTAGCAATCCCACTTTTAGGCATTTACTCAAACGATCCCAAACAAGACTATATTAAAGCTACCAGCACAACTATGTTTATCGCAGCATTATTTACATATCTAAGATATAGAACCAACCCAGATGCCCCTCAGTAGATGAATGGATGAAGAAAATGTATATTTATACAATGGAATTCTATGCCTCCATCAGAAAGAATGACATAACCGCATTTGTTAGGAAATGGAAAGACTTGGAAAAAATTATATTAAGTGAAGTAAGCCAGGCCCAAAGAAACATAGGCACCATGGTTTCCCTTATTTGCAATAACTAGTGTAAGTCTAGGACAAGCAGAAAAGGTCAAAATCTATGTACATATGACCATATAAGATGATGTTAAGTGAAATGAACCCAAGATAGGGAAACAAGTGTTTTTTTTTTCTTTCTTGCTATTGTTTGTAATGTATTTAAAATGTACTGTGATTTTTTTTGTGTATTTTTGTTTTTTATATGTTCTTTCCCCATGGTATAACCCCTGTTTTCACTGTATTTGATGTAGATGCCCTGCATCTTGTATATACATTTTTCTAATCTGGGGAGGGGAAGGGAAATAACAAAATGCTGAAATAAGGATACAGGATGACCCATTGTAACAATGAGATGCACCAGACACTATGTTGAAAACAAACTTTACAACTTGGGGCAGGGAGGGAGCTGGGAAGGTGGGGAGGGAAGGGATGGTAGGGGAAAACCAAAGGAAGAGGTAACAATGCTTGATAGGAAATGTACTCATTACCTTGCTCATGTAACTATAACCCCTCTATACAGTATTTTTACAATTTAAAAAAAAAATTTTTTTTAAAGCCAAAGTAGAATTCAACTGGAAGAGGGCTAGCCTTGAGCAAAAAAGCTCAGGAACAATGCCCAGGCCCTGAGTTCAAGCCCCAGGACTGGCACACACAGACACACACAAAAAAAGGTTCTTCAAAAGTTATAAAATTATAAATACAAGATATATTTGTAGTTTAAATATTAATTTTATGATGAGATCTGTGTGTAACCTAGTCTAGAACTCAAAATTCTCATGCTTCAGCCTCCCAAGTGCTAGAACAAACAAAACAAAAAAAAAAAAACTTTTTAAGCCACATGTACCAACTAGTTATTTTTCTTGACATTCTTATATTTTAAAATTTACTATTGGGGCTGGGAAGGTGGCTCAGTGGTAGAGCGCTTGCCTTGCATGTATGAGGCCCTGGGTTCCATTCCTCAGCACCACATAAGCAGGAAAAAAAAGCCGGAAGTGGCGCTGTGGCTCAAGTGGTAGAGCGCTAACCTTGAGCTGAAGAGCTGAGGGACAGCGCCCAGGCCCAGAGTTCAGGTCCACAACTGGACCTCCCCCCAAAAAATAAAAATTTTTAAAAAAATTTAAAAAAATATATTTACTATTGGCTGGGAATGTGGTTTAGTGGTAGAATACTTGCCTAGCATCCATGAAGCCCTGAATTTGATTCCTCACTACCACATACACAGAAAAGCCCAGAAGTGGCACTGTGAATCAAGTGGTAGAAGTAGAATGCTAGCCTTGAGCAAAAGAAACTCAGGGGCCGGGCGCTGGTGGCTCACGCCTGTAATCCTAGCTACTCAGGAGGCTGAGATTTGAGGATCGCGGTTCAAAGCCAGCCAGGGCAGCAAAGTCTGTGAGACTCTTATCTCCAATAAACCACCAGAAAATCATAAGTGGTGCTGTGACTCAAGCAGTAGAGTGCTCACCTTGAGCTGAAGAGCACAGGGACAGCGACCAAGCCCAGATTTCAAGCCCCATGGCCGACAAAAAAAAAAAAAAAACAACTCAGGAAGTGCCCCAGGACTGCCAAAAAAAAAAAAAATCTTTCATGGCCTCTTGCTCTCTCCCTTTTCTTTTCTCATCAAGGCTAGCACTCTACCACTTCAGCCACCACAGCTCTACTTCTGGCTTTTTGGTGGTTAATTGGTGGTAAGAGTGTCTTTCCTGCCTGGGCTGGCTTCAAACCATCATCCTCAGATCTCAATCTCCTGAACAGCTAGGGTTACAAGCACAAGCCACCAGTGGCCTGGCTTATAGTATTTCTGATAGGAGAAGTGATCTCTTCATGTGCACTTGGTTGGTGGTATTGGAGATTGACTCTAGATCCTCGAGATTGCTTGGCAAGTGCTCTACTACTTAAACCATACCTCAGCATTTGGGCATTTCTGAGTAGTTCCTATTAATTGTGAAGACACATGAATTATCAATGGGAGGTCATGTCATTTTTACAACACATGGATTGGGTATACAATCATTTCATCTCTCTCTCTTTTTTAATAAAAAGAAATTATGAGAGGCCTGCAGTTAAATAGCATTGTTTTCTGAGAGAGAGAGAGAGAGAGAGAATGTGTGTGTGTGTGTACGTACTGGTACTAAGACTTGAATTCAGGGCCTAGGCACTGTCCCTGCAATTCTTAGCTCAAGGCTAATACTCTATCACTTGAGCCACAGCTCTACTTTTGGCTTTTTTAGTAGTTAATTGGAGATAAAAGGGGCACAGACTTTCCTGCCTAGGCTTCAAACTGTGATCCTCAGCTCTCAGCCTCCTGAATAGCTAGGATAACAGTCATAAGCCACCAGCAACCCATCTTGAAGAACCATTATTTTTAAGTAATACAATCTCAACTACCTAAACTGTACTAAGTTCTGCTCTTAATCTAGTGGCTACTACCTTAAGTCTGCTAGCCCAGATAATACTAAATTGCTAACTTCATAGTCAAGACCACAGGATTCTGTTACAAATTTATTTCTCAAGGTGTAACAAGATCTACTAGACTCCATTTAAAAATTATTGAGGGTGGCTGGGAAGGTGGCTTAGTGGTAGAGTGCTTGCCTAGCATGCACGAAGCCCTGGGTTCAATTCCTCAGTACCACACACACAGAAAAAGCCAGAAGTGGCACTGTGGCTCAAGTGGTAGAGTGCTATTCTTGAGCCAAAGAATCTCAGGGACAGTGCCCAGACCCTGAGTTCAAGCCCCAGTACTGGCAAAAACATAAAATTTTATATATATATATATATAATTTATTTATTTATATCAAGTACCAGTGGCACTTCATGGTTTGAAGCCAGCTAAGTCAGGAAAGTCCATGGGACTCAAATCTCCATTTAACTACCAAAAATCCCGACATTTTTGACATTTTTGGAGCTGTGATTCAAGTGGTAGGGTGCTAGCCTGGAGCATGAACACTCAGGGATAGCATCCAGGATCTAAGTTCAAGCCTCAAGACCAGCACAAAAGAAAAAAAAAATCACTGATCTAAATTTATCCCACATGATCATAACAACAAAGGAAGCAAGCTCAACATCCTTGTTAAATGTGTAATAGGTACACTACAAGTCAGCTGAATGACTCCCAACGGAATAAATTCAAAGACAACATATGGTCAAATCAACAAAGCCTGGTAGAGGACCACATGCCTGAATCACAGTACTCAGAAGGCAGAGGCAAGAGGATCTCAAGTTCCAGGACAACCTGGACTCCACTGAATGTTTAAGTACTACATAGTTAGACACAGTCTCAAAGAACTAGAAATAAAATAATGAAATAAAAGGATGAAAGGCGATAATAACATGACATGAATTCAGTCACAGCATGCATCACAAGTAGAAGGCGTTACCATTTTCTTCCAGATCATCTTTCACTACTTTGGGGCGATCTTCATGGTTTACCAGTTGTCTAGAAGCACAGACTTGCTTTAGGCCAAGGAAGAGGAAGAGAATAGAGGGGATGATCTGCCCTGCCACAGCGTCCACAGCAGGAGGCCGGTTTTGTAACTCCAAGAGGACACTCAACCCTATTATACACATTTTCCGGTCATGGTGCCTGGAGGTTTTCAAAGGAAAAAAAAAGAGACATGAGAAATGCAATAAAGGACAAAGCCCAAATGCCGAAGTGTATACTAAGGTTCCTGTGGGAATTACATAAAAATACTCCATGTTTTGTTACACAAAATTCTATGGATATCAAAATTTGTAAACCAATAACTATCAGACCTAAGGGAAGCAGAGTGTCAGTGTCTCATGCCTGTAATCCTAACTACTCAGGAGGCTGAGATGTGAGGATCATAGCTCAAAGTCTGCCCAGGCAGGAAAGTCTGTGACTCTTCTCTCCAATAAACTACCTCCCAAAAGCACCAGAAGTGTATCTGTGGCTCAAGTTGTAGAGTGCTAGCCTTGGCAAAATGAAGCTCAAGGACAGTGCCCAGGCCCAGAATTCAAGCTCAAGGATTGGTGTGTACGTACGTACGTACACACACACACACACACACACACGGGTGTCAGCAATTAATATGGTGAATCTTGCTGTAATACCAACTTACAATTGATGCAAATGCTGTACCTGAGTGTTGGTGTGATGAGTTTATTAAAGTAAATGTAACTTTGCTTGACAAGAGAAAATTTCTATACAATAGAAAAAATATGAAGAGTGTCCAGACTTTTCCACCATGAGTTGTGGGTTTCCTGGTCTATGTACTTTACACAAATCTCAGCTCCCCAAAAGGTGTTTCAAAAACTGTCACTGGACACTGATGGCTCACACCTATAATCCTAGCTAATCAGGAGATGGAGATCTGAAAAGCACAGTTCAGTGCCAGCCCAGGCAGATAAATCTGAGACTCTTGATCTCCAATGAACCAGCTAAAAGCTGGAATTAGAGGTTTGACACAAATGTGAGAGTGCTGGCCTTGAGTGAAAAAGGGATATGCCTAGGCCCTGACATTAAGTCCCAGTATTGGCATGCACACACGTGCTCTCTCTCTCTCTCTCACACACACACACACACTCACTCACACAATCCACAAGGCACATACCCGAGGAAATAGTCAGTGTCATTCATCCACTGGTTTATGAACTGCACGGTGATGGGCCCCGGGTGGGGAGGCAGCTGGATGTGCTCTAAGGTGTGCAGCAGCAGGTCAGGGTTATAGTACAGTGCAGCAATAGCCACCTGCAGACACATAGTGCGGAGCTCGCTCGTTTTCACCCCTCGAGTTAATCTCTCCAAGACAAGTTGAACAAAAAGTGGAATGCACTAAAAGACAAAGAGAAAATCAGAGGAAAGTATACTAGAAACTTCCAGAAAGGTGAATACAAGCAAAAAGTGGTGTCAAAGAAGAGTCCTAATGACAATACAATGTTGGCTTCAATTGTTTCTAGTTATTTAATAGTTTTACATTCATGCCAGGTTCTAGTAGCTCACACTTGTAATCCTAGTTACTCAGAAGGCTGAGATCTGAGGATCACAGTTCAAAGCCAGCCTGGGCAAGAAAGTCTGTTGAGTTGTTTTTTTTTTTTTTGTCGGTCGTGGGGCTTGAACTCTGGGCCTAAGTGCTGTGCCTCAGCTCTTCAGCTCAAGGCTAGCGCTCTACCACTTGAGCTACAGTGCCACTTCTGGTTTTCTGGTGGTTTACTGAAGATAAGAGTTTCACAGACTTTCCTGCCCGGGCTGGCTTTCACCCGCGATCCTCAGATCTCAGCCTCCTGAGTAGCTAGAATTACAGGCGTGAGCCACTGGTGCCCGGCTTAGTCTGTGAGATTTTTATCTCCAAATACCACCAAAAAGCTGGAAGTTGAGCTGTGGCTCAAGTGGTAGAGTGCTAGCCTTGAATGAAAAGTTCAGGACAGTGCCCAGGCTCTGAGTTCAAGTCTCAGGTTTGACAGGTGCACACACACAGCTTTGCATTCTCACAAAAACCAGAGAGATTTCATCAAGAGAAGTCCTACATGTTCCTAGACTCTACTTCCTTTTTTGTACATGTGTATGCGGAGTGGTTCAAGTGGTAAAGCACTAGTCTTGAGTGAAAAAGCTCTGGGACAGTACCCAGGCCCTGAGTTCAAGCCCCAGGACAAGCATAAATAAATAATTTTTTCAAAAGCTAAGGAGGAACACAAATCCTGAGTTCAAGCCCTAGTAGTGACACAAAAACAAAAAAAATAAAAAACTTGGAAAGACTTTAGAAAACAGGCTACAGCATAGTTCAGCCCCAAACCCTGAATTTAAATTCCAGTACCAGTATCACTATGGATTTAGTAAGGGGATCACTCAATCTACTAGTGGCCTGGACATAACTCAGAGAACAGAGAAAAATTATCTCTGTCCTCATGCAGGCACTGACAGAACCTTGTGCGGAGCGCGGACCCTGATTTACGCCAGCAATGGCTCTGCTTCCCCTTACAGCAATGATCATGCAGCCTCTGGCTCACAGAACTTCTCAGTGATTCTGAATATGATAACTACATATCATACATATCTGTATACAGAAAACACCTTACGAATGAGGGTTGGTATTTTTTTTTTCCCAAACTAAATTTTCTTCCTGACAATTAGTTTCTAGATCCTACAAAACCAGCCTGCAAGTAGGATGTAGTCCATGGGCCACAGTTTACCAACACCTGGATTATTGGGCAAGTCTAAGCCCCTAACATGGATTTGTTCGATAGTCCCATCAACTGCTACTCAAAATGCTCTACAATCCAAGCAAAGGGTAAACACCTCTACTGCCAATCAAGTTTAAACCTAACTACTTGCTTGGTTTTTGTTTAACATCAGTTTTAGTTTATGGTACTGGGGCTCAAATTCAAGGCCTTGTGCTCCTGGCTTTTCCACTCAAGGCTGGTGCTCTACCACTTGAGCCAGCTCCACCTGCCATAATTTCTTTAGAACACAAAAATATAGGGGATGAGGACCTTCTGAAAATATCTAAAAAGTTCTTAGAGTCATATCAATTTTATTTGTATGGTGGCACATGCCTGTAATCCCAACACTCAGGAGGCAGAAGCAGGAAGATTACAAGTATCATGCCAGCCTGGGCTACATGAACCGTGTATGAAAAAAATGCATAAATAAAAGCTAATCCACAAATTGTGAGAAAATGTTTCCAAATTATATATGTCTGGTAAAGGACTTGAATCTACAATAAATACTGAACTCCACTAACTCAACTATGAAGAGACAAAAAATGAAATAAAACTAAACAAGAATCCAATTAGTCATTTCTCTAGAGACAAAAAAAGATACTCAAGGGCTGGGAAGGTGGCTCAGTGGTAGAGCACTTGCCTTGCATGCATGAGGCCCTGGGTTCGATTCCTCAGCACCACATAAGCAAAAAAAAAGCCAGAAGTGGCGCTGTGGCTCAAGTGGTAGAGTGCTAGCATTGAGCTGAAGAGCTGAGGGACAGCGCCCAGGCCCAGAGTTCAGGCCCACGACCGGACCCCCCCAAAAAAAAAATAGATACACAAAAAGCCAAGGAACACACGAGAAGACATTCAACATCCTTACTTATAAGAGAAATGCCAATGAAAAGTATAAGAGAAATGCCAATGAAAAGCACAATGGGATGCCACTTAAGCCTGCCAGAAGGGCTGGAAACAAACAAAAAAAAAGAAAGAGCAGCTGGATACCAGACGCTCATCCCTGTAATCCTAGATAGGAAGCTTAGATCTGAAGATCTTGGTTCAAAGTCAACCCAGGCAGGAAAGCCTATGAGACTCCTATCTCCAATTAACTACCAAAAAAGCCAGAAGTAGAGCTGTGGTCCAAGTGGTAGAGCACTAGCCTTGAGCACAAAAGCTTGGGGCAGAGCCCAGGCCTGGAGTTCAAGCTCTAGGATTGGCACAGAGAGGGGGGGAGGGGGCAAGGATCAGGAAAGAAAGAAAGGGAGGGAGAAAGGGAGGGAGGGAAGGGAGAGAGTGTGTTGAGGAAGGAAGACTTGGAGAAATGGGAACCCTCATCTACTAGCAGGAATGGGAAGTGACATGGATGCTTTGACAAGAGGATAACATTCACTCCCATGAAACTTGTAAGTCCACATGATACAAAAATTCCACTCTTGCCGGGCGCTGGTGGCTCACGCCTGTAATCCTAGCTACTCAGGAGGCTGAGATCTGAGGATCGCGGTTCAAGGCCAGCCCAGGCAGGAGAGACCGTGAGACTCCTATCTCCAATAAACCACCAGAAAACCGGAAGTGGCGCTGTGGCTCAAGTGGTAGAGCACTAGCCTTGAGCTGAAGAGCTGAGGGACAGCGCCCAGGCCCACAGTTCAGGCCCCACGACTGGACCCAAAAAAAAAAAAATCTCAGAAAGAATAAAATATCTGGGAATTAACCTAACCAAAGAGGCAAAGGACCTATTTAATGAAAAAATCTAAAGAAAGAAAGCAAAGAAGATACCAGGAAATGGAAAGACCTTCCATGTGCATGTATAGATAGAATCAATATTGTGAAAATGGCCGTACTGCCAAAAACGATATACAAATTCAACACAATCCCCATCAAAATCCCAATGATGTTCTTTATGAAATAGAGAAAACAATCCAAAAATTCATATGGAACAACAAAAGGACTAGAATAGCCAAAGCAATTCTAGGCAAAAGAAGTAATGCACAATACCACATTTTAAGCTCTACTATAAAGCCATAATAACAACTTGGGATTGGCACAAAAATAGACCCAAAGACCAATGGAATACATTAGAAGATCCAGAAATAATATAGCCAGCTGATATTTGACAAAGGAGCCAAAGACATACACTGGAAGAAACATGGCCTCTTCAACTATTGGTGTTGGGAAAACTGGGCAGCCACATGCAGAAAACTAAAAGTGGCCCCCAGCCTATCAGCATGCACCAACATCAACTCAAAATGGATTAAAGATCTTAACATCAAACCTGAAACTCTGAAACTACTGCAGGACAGAGCAGTAGAGACACTAGAACTTATAGGCATAGGCAGGAACTTCCTGAACAGAATCCCAAGGTCAAAACAAATGGGAGAGAGACTCGACAAATGGGACTACCTTAAATAAAAAGTTTCTGCACAGCTGAAGATGTAGCTGCCAAACTAGAAAGACAACCAATCAACTGCAAAAAATATTTACCAACAACATATCAGACAAAGGCCTAATATCCATTATATACAGGGAACTCAAGAAACTAATCCCTCCCAAATCTAACAAACCAATCTTTTTGGAAGAAAAGATAAAAAACGCCACCAAAGAAACACATGAGGAAATGTTCATCATCCCTGGCTGTAAAGGAAATGCAAATAAAAATAAATTTGAGCTACCACCTTACCCCAGTCAGAATGGCCCACATCCTAAAGCCAGCCAACGACAAATGCTGGAGGGGATGCAGAAGAGGAACCCTGTTTCATTACTGGTGGGAATGTATACTAATACAACCACTTTGGAAAGCAGTCTGGAGATTCCTCAGAAAGCTAAATATAGACCTCCCCTATGACCCAGCCATACCACTCCTACATCTACCCTGAGCAACAGGGACCAGGAAACAAGGACACATGCACCTCCATGTTCATTGCTGCATTGTTCACAATAGTCAAGATATGGAAACAACCCAGATACCCCACTACCGGTGGATGGATCTAAAAATTGTGGTACTTATATACAATGGAATATTATGCAGCCATTAGAAAGGAGAAAACAATAGCATTTGCAAGGAAATGGATGGAACTAGAAGAAATCATGTTGAGAGGGGTAAGCCAAGATCAGAGAGACAAATGGCACATGATCTCCCTGATATGCAGATGTTAAATCCAAAATGAAGGAGATATGACAAAGTACACAGGACTCAAGACATAAAGGATCTCTTTTTGTCATATCATTTCTAGATGACCCCATGTCCTTCACCTCATATATGGTATATACATGTGTATATACACATGTATATACCATATATAGGAAAAAGGCACAGAATCAGAGGGAAACAGAGGAAAACATACAGCAGAGGGGCCCATCAGCTGCACTGGACATTGATGAAAGTGAACTAGAAACTCAAGGGCAGTGATGAGAGAGAAAGGGGGAATAGCTTATACTGAGCAAAAGGAAAGAAATGTACATGTCACCCAATTTGGAAAAAATAGTGTCAAGATATGTAGAGACAGTAAGCTTTATAGACCACGACAATAACAATGCACCTCATAAAGGTTAAAATGTGTTTGGCTTTAAGTATCACTACCCCACAATACTATGAATTTTATGAAATTTATGTAATCACTTAATCTCAATAGAGAAAAAAATACATAAAGAAAAAGATAAAAGAAAAAATATATGGAGCAAATATTACTGAACTAAAAAAGGGTAATTAAGACAAGCACTGTACCTCATGCCTGTGATCCTAGCTACTCAGGAGGCAGAGACCTAGAGGACCTTGGCTGGAAGTTAGTCTGGACAAAAAAAGTCTTAGAGGCCCCATTTCCAAGTAAGAAGCAAAAGTGCTGACTACAGACATGATCAGCCATGAGAAAAAGACTAAACAAGAGCATGAGAGCCTAAGTCCAAGCCCCAGTACTGGCAAAAAAGTATAGCATGCCAAATACCAGTGGCTCACGCCTCTAATCCTAGCTACTCAAGAGGCTGAGATCTGAGGATCACAGTTCAAAGCCACCCTGGGCAGGAAAGTCTGTGAGACTCTTATTCCAATTAACCACCAAAGAAGCCAGAAGGGGAGCTATGGCTTAAGTGGTTGAGTGCTAGCCTTGAGCAACAAGCTCAGAAACAGTTCCCAGGTTCTGAGTTCAAACCTCAGGATCAGCACAGTAAATAAAAATAAAAAGCCAAGCACTGGCTTGTAATGTAATCCTAGTTTCTCAAGAGACTGAGATCTAAGGATCACTGTTTGAAGCCAGCCAGAGCAGAAAAATCTGTGAGACTCCTATCTCCAATTAAACAGCAAAAAAAAACAGAAGTAGACCTGAGGCTCAAGCAGTAGAGTACCAACCAGCCTTGAGTAGGAAAAGCTAAGGGACAGCACACAGGCATAAGCCCAACACTGGTATTAAAAAAAAAAAATTGCAAATCACTAAGCACAATTTCCACATTTGTTTCTTCATCATCCTATGAACCGCTCCTTATTTCATAATTTTCTGTGCATTTAGTTCTCAGCTAGAATGCAAATTACAAGGCCCAGACTGTATGGCTTTTTGTCATTTGAATAGAATTTGCACAAGTCAGGAAAAGAAACAACAACAAAAAACGGTGGTGGGTTATCGCCTCAGTACTCCATCCAAACATAACCAAAATGTCAATCAGGCCTGTTGATGATAAACACAGATGTTGAGTAGGTTACTTCCCTCACATGCATTACCTGATCAATTCCCCTTCCTTTGCACTGAAGAATGATGACTTCCAGAAGCTTCGCTGCATGACATTCAGCATCTTCTCCTGCATCTCCACAGAGCACCTACAATAAAAGATAACTTGGCTCAGCACCAAGAATCATTGCATAAAATTCGTCAAAGGCTCTTAAAACAAGCATCCATATAAATTCAGTCACAGGACTCAGCTTCACCCTAGTACCTGCTCAGCCTGAAAAAGGGAAGGAAGAATACAACCCCGCTCTTTGCTCTAGTACCTAATTACATTCCTTGTTTGTTTATTATGGTATGTCAGTCCCGGGGCTTGAACTTTGGGTCTGGGCACTGTCCCTGAGCTATTTTAGTCAAGGCGAGCACTCTACCACTAGAGCCACAGCTTCACTTCTAGCTTTATTGGAGCTTAGTTGGAGATAAAGAGTCTCATGGACTTTATTGCCTAGAATGGCTTTGAACCATGATCCTCAGATCTCAGCCTCCTGAGAGGCTAGGATTACAGGTGTGAGCCACCAGTACCTGGCTTGTCTCTCTCTTAGCTTTTTCACTGAAGGCTGGCACTCTACTACTTAAGCCAAAACTCCCCCTTCCTGCTTTGGGCTAGTTAACTAGAGATAAAAGTCTCACCAACTTCCCTGCCTGGGCTGACTTCAAACCACCAACCTCGGGTCTCAGCCTCCTGAGTAGCTAGATTACAGGAGTGAGCCACAGTGCCTGGCTTAAATTGCTAAACATTTTAAGGCACAATGCAGAACATGTGACTTTCAAAATACAACAATCTAAACTTCATTTTGGAAATGCACACTCACAAATATAGGCTGATCAATGCATAGATGAAACATTCAAGAAATACATGAGGGAAGCTGGGCACCAGTAGGACCAGCAAAAACAAAAACAAAAAAACACAGAAATCTTAGTAAAGCATACTGTGACAAATGCTTACTGTGACATGCTTACCTTCCTACACATTGTGAAAAGGACTTCTAAATGTTTTGGATTTGACAGTAAAGTATTTGTATCTATTGTCACATAATTATGCAGGAGAGGCATCATATCTGGAAAAAAATTTAAAAACCTGTGAGACTTCACAAGAGCAGGAGAAATAAATGATTCCCACTGAACCAACAGCTCTGTAGCAGCCACAAACCTAGAATTAAAGTAACAAACCAGCCCCACTCCTGAATAAAGGCCTTAGGAGTCTGAAGGATGGAAATGCTCACCACTGTGGCCCAACTTCAAATTGTCTCTTTCATCCTCACACTACAAGCTTCTGACCTGGCTCCTGAGAGTTCCCCTCACCCTCCCTCCTTGGGCCCCCACTGAAATGTCAACGTCAGAAGTTCTACTGCTAGGTGCTGGTGGAAAACGTCTGTCATCCTAGCTACTCAGGAGGCTGAGATCTGAGGGTCCAGGTTGTAAGCTAGTGGGGAAAGGAAAGTCCATGAGACTCTTATCTCCAATTAACCAGCAAAAAGCTAGAATCAGACGTATGGCTGAAGTGGCAGAGCACTGGTCTTGAGTGGAAAAAGCCACACAAGGGCGTGAGGAAGGCCTGAGTTCAAGCCTCAGTACTAGCACTAAAACAAACAACAACAACAAAAAAAGAACAGGCTCCTGAAGTCCTTGCTAAGATTAAAGTTTAGAACATAGTTGGTATTCAAAAAGCATTTATGGGAAAGAGCTATGGCTCAAGTGGTAGAGCGCTAGCCTTGAGCAAAAGAAGCTCAAGGACAGTGCCCAGTCCCTGAGTTCAAGCCCAGAACCAGCACCAAAAAAAAAGCATGTATGAAATTTCATGGAGAGATACTCTGCTAGTAAATTAACTTCAGATACAAGAAATCCCTCTACCTCCACTGCCTGTATCTCCAGGCCCTTTACTTGACAGGAAAGAAAGAGTCGTTTCTGATTAGTACAGAATCACACGAGTTTTTATTTCAGGTATTCATAGCTAAACACAGAAGACCAAAAATGTTCTAGGGCCCAAGCCATACCTGTAAAGTATTCAAAGCAATCCTGCTGAAAAACTTCATATAAAATACCTAGAAGCTGCCACATATGAGGGGAGATGGTGTGGCAGGTTAAACTATATGCCAGGGAAAGAATTTCTTCATAGAATTCTAGAAGGAAGAAAATCTCTAGTTAGCAAAGTAGGAAAAAGCAAAAAGGCAGAGAACAAAGCTCACAGAAGAGAGTGTTTCTGAGCAGAGTGACTACAAGCAGCCCTTGCTCAATGGTTTTTTTGTTGTTATTTTTTTGTTTTTGTCAGTTATAGAGCTTGAACTCAGGGTCTAGGTACTATCTCTGAGCTTTTGTGCTCAAGGCTAGCACTCTACCACTTTGAGCCACACTTCCACTTCTGGTTTTCTGGTGGTTTATTGGAGATAACAGTCTCATGGACTTTCCTGCCAGGGCTGGCTTTTAAACTGCAATCCTCAGAGCTCAGGCTCCTGAGTTGCGAGAATTTCAGGTGTGAACCCCCAGTGCTCAGCTTTCCTCAGGATGTTTTACGTACAGATCCACTTCTTCCTATTGCTCACCAAGACCACCCTTTACTCTGCCACCCAAGGCAAAACTTAGCTTTTGGTTGCTGGTGGCTCACACCTTTAATCCTTAGTTATTCAGGAGGCTGAGACCTGAGGATTATGATTCAAAGATAACCTTGTAAGGAAAGTTCTTGAGACTCTTGTCTGAAATTAACCAGCAAGAAACCAGAGTGGATCTGTGGCTTAAATGGTAGGGTACCAGCCTTGAGCAGAAAAGCTAAGGAAGTACACAAGTACATGTACAAGGAAGTACACACATACGTGTCTCACACACACAACACACTCAAAAATATGTCTGTCCTTAAAAGGTTCCAAGGTCAAAAATCCTTAATTGGGTATAAGTTTATTTCTGAATGAAAATATAAATATTGAACATTAGACAGTATATTCCAAAATTTAAGAGAAAGCCAAGTTTCTCCTCAAAATTACACATCTTGTTAAATTTTAAAAGCTAATAATGTACTTTGATTTCCTCAAATTAAAAAATAAAATCTCAGTTTACCTTTATAGTCACATGTTGAACTTACCAATTACATGTTTTTGTAAAACAAGATCAATAATCCGTAGACAGATATTCTCTAATTGCTGAGTAATCTAAAAGAAATTTTAAATATTTATTTTAAAATTCATCATGATGATCTTTTTGGGGGTGGGAGTTGCTTTCGTTTTTGCCCCAACTCTGGGCCTGGGCAGCCCCTGAGCTCTTTTTTGTTCAAAGATAGCACTCTATCACTGAAGTCACAGCACCACAACTGGCTTTTTCTGTGATTAAATGGAGATAAGCCTGGGCAGGAACTCCAAGAGTTTCTTATGGCCAATAAACTACCACAGGTGGCTCATACCTGTAATCCTATTAAAGAGGCTGAGATGTTAGGATCCAGGTCTGAAGCCAACTGTGACACAAAAGTCAGTAAGATTCTTGTCTCCAATTAACCAACGAAAACCTAGAAGTGGAGCTGTGGCTCAAGGTAGAGCACCAGCCTTGAGTGAACATGCTAAGGGAGAGGGTATGAAGCCCTGAATTCAAGTCCCAGTACTATCAATCAATCAACCAACCAACCCATCCACAAACAAGATCTGTTGTGTAAAAAAGATGTTCACAATATTAACAAGTCCTACGCTTATCAACATATACTCAGAGCCAGGCACTGGTGGCTGACGCCTGTAATCCTATCTACTCAGGAGGCTGAGGTTTGAGGATCTCGGTTCAAAGATAGCCCAAGCAGGAAAGTCTAAGACTCTTATCTCCAATTAACCACCAGAAAACCAGAAATAGACTGTGGCTCAAGTGATAGAGTGCTTACCTTGAGCTAAAGAGCTCAGGGACAGCACCCAGGCCCAGACTCACATACACATACACACACACAACCATGCTCAGAGCCAGGCTGTAATTCTAGCTACTCAGAAACCTGAGATCTGAGGATCACAGTTCAAACAACCTGGACAGAAAAGTCCCCATGAGACTCTTATCTCCAATTAACTACTCAAAAACTGAGGAGGCACTGTGGCTCAAGTGGTGAAGTGCTAGCTTTGATCACAAAGAGGCTGAGAGACATCACCCACATCCTGAGTTCAAGCCCCACAACCAACAACAACAACAAAAAGTAAATAAAAATAAAATTAAAACATGTTCAGGTGGGCACTAACAGCTTGTGCCTGTAATCCTAGCTACTCAAGAGGCTGAGATCTAAAAATTATGGCTCAAAGTCAGCCCAAAAAGGAAAGTCTATGAGACTCTTGTATCCAATTAGAGCTGTGGATCAAGTGGTAGAGTGACAACCTTGAGCAAAAAAGCTCAGGACAACATCCAGGTCCTAAGTTCAAGCTCCAGGACCAGCACAAAATATATTTTAAAAAACAACTATGTTGGCTGGGAAGATGGCTCAGTGGTAGAGCGCCTGCCTTGCATGCCTGAGGCCCTGGGTTCGATTCCTCAGCACCACATAAGCAAAAAAGAAAAAAGCCAGAAGTGGTGCTGAGGCTCAAGTGGTAGAGCGCTAGCCTTGAGCTGAAGAGCTGAGGGACAGCGCCCAGGCCCAGAGTTCAGGCCCCACGACCGGACCCCCCCCCAAAAAAAAAACACTATGTTTCATCTCACACATGGTAAGAGTACAAATTCAGTGCAACTTCAGCACTTCAGTCTCACAATGGTTAAAGCTATTGCCTGGGAGAAAACAGCAAACATCTGGATTTTTGGAGTGTAGTTGGTACATGCCATCAAGGACAAGTTAGTAAAAGTCTTCAAATTCTGCTTATCTGTACAAAATGACACATAAGAGACTATTCATACCAGGCACCAATGGCTCACTCCTGTAATCCTAGCTACTCAGAAGGCTGAGATCTGAGGATAACGATTCAAAGCCAACCCAGGCAGGAAAGTCTGTAAGACTCTTATCTCCAATAAACCAACAGAAAGCCAGAAATGGCGTTGTGGCTCAAGTGGTAGAGTGCTCGCCTTGAGCTGAAGAGCTAAGGGACAGCACCCAGGCCCAGAGTTCAAGCCCCACAACGGACAAAAAAAAAAAAAAAAAAGAATACTCATTGAAACAATGCTTATGATTGTTAATAACCAAAGTTCCATTTAAACAAGGAACAAGTAAACAGTACGGATTACCTAAGAATACATTATATAAATTCATATAGAATGTTAGTGAGCAATTTGACAGGATCACCAGAATAATTTAAAAAATCAACTAAGAACTATAACTATGCTAGCTTTTTCATAAATGAAAAATATAGCTGGGTGTCAATGACTAATCCTAGTTACCTGGGAGGCTTAAGTAAGAGGACTGTGATTTCAGAGCAGCCCAAGCAGAAAAAATTTCAAGATCTTTCTTGATTTGTAGCTGGGCACAGCAAAACAGGCCTGTCACCCCAAGCTACATGGGCAGCTGAGACTGGGAGGATTCTGATTTAGGCCAGTGTGGGCAAATGTTCATGAGTGTTATCTCAACAGAGAGAAGCTGCACCTTCCTGTGATAGAGCAATGGCAAGAAGCCAAGCAAGATGGTGGCTCAGGTGTGTAAAAGGAGGAAAGCAACACACTATTCTAAAAACAGGGCTGGAGGTGTGGGTTAAGTAGTAGAGTGTTCTGAGTTCAAACCCTAGCACTTACAAAAAAAAAAAAAGACAATGGTGGTTTATGCCTGTAATCCCAGATACAGAGGAGGCTAAGATCTGAGGATCACATTTTAAAGCCAGCCTAATTAACCACTAAAAAAGTCAGAAATAGAGGTGTGGCTCAAGTGGTAGAGTGCTAGCTTTGAGCAAAGCAGCTCAGTGACAGCACCCAGGCTCTGAGTTCAAACCCAGGACTGGCATGAAAAGAAGGAAAGAAAGAGAGGGGTACAGAGAAGAAGGGAGGGAGAGAAAGAGAGAGGAAGGGAGAGAGAAAAAAGAAAAGACAAATATACGCAGTAATTTTAATTTTTGCTTGTATAGTAACAGAAAACTCTGGAAGAATAAAAATAACTTAAAAAGGACTTAAATATCTGGAGAGGTGAATAACAAGGTTCACTAAATATCTTATCATACTTTCAAAACTATTTAACATACGTTTTTATTAAATACTTTGTGTGTCCCAGTAGCAGAACTTGAACCCAGGGCTCTATGTTCTTGCTTAGCTTTTTTGCTCAAGGCTGGAATTCTACCACTTGAGCCACATCTCCAAGTCTGGCTTTTGGCTAGTTAAATAGAGATAAGAATCTCTCAGAATTGTCTGTCTAAGCTAATTTTGAACCTGGATCCTCAGATCTCAGCCTTCTGAGTAGCTAGGAATACCTGAGCCACCAGTGGCTGGCTTTATTAAAATACTTGTTTTTTTTCCCCGGTCAGTTGTGGGGCTTGAACTCCGGGCCTAGGTGCTGTCCCTGAGCTCTTCGGCTCAAGGCAAGCACTCTACCACTTGAGCCACAACGCCACATCCAGCTTTCTGGTGGTTTATTGGAGATAAGAATCTCACGGACTTTTCTGCCCAAGGCTGGCTTTGAACCCCAATCCTCAGATCTCAGCTTCCTCAGGAGCTAGGATTACAGATGTGAGCCACTGGCACCCAACTAAAATACCTTTAAATAAGAAAAACTTACAATCCCTCATGGGTTATAGTTTTCATTTAAATATCCAGTTTCAACTTTTGAGCACAGACTAATATTCAGTTAAAACTCTTTTGTATTCTATTTTCTATTACTTTTTTATTTTTAATTGGTCTATAATGTGTTTGTGTCTCTGTGTGCATATATGTGTGTGTATATATATATATATATATATATATACATATACATATGTATTTTTGTAGAATGCCCTTTGATAATTTGATACATTAAACTATTAAAGTTCAAAGGACTGAATATTTCCCAATTAAAAATATTGCCAAGCTGGGCACTGGTAGCTCATGCCTATAATACTAGCTACTTAGAAGGCTGAGTCAGTCACTGTCCCTGAACTTTTATGCTCAAGGCTAACACTCTACCACTTGAGCCATAGCTCTACTTCTAGCTCTTTGCTGGTTAACTGGAGGTTAAGTCTCACAGTCTCTCCTGCCTGGTCTGGCTTCAAACTATGATCTTTTCAGATCTCTGCATCTTGAGTAAACCTAACATTTTTAAAGCCAAGAAGCAATTTTCAAAGCTAAAACCTTAAAATTCATAACTACTAGTCATCTAAATTTCAGCTAACATGCTGTAAAACTCTCACCTCTTGATGATCTTCCACAACTGTTAAAATTGTATCAATGGTATGTAAAATTCCCATAGCCATTACTGTTTTGTCCTCAACTTCTTCATATTCATCACTTTGAAGAACTTTGCCAAATATTTCAGCCTATGAAATCACATTAAAATATTCAACAATTAGTACCATAACATCCCCACAGAAAAAAGGCAGTGAGTGCCACCTATCTAAATGTTGGCAGTATTCAGTCTTTTAATTCTACATTTGGTTGACTGAATCCTCGATTTTTTGTTTTGTTTTGGGTTTTTTTTTGTCAGTTGTGGGGCTTGAACTCTGGGCTTGGGCACTGTCCCTAAGCTCTTCAGCTCAAGGCTAGTGCTCTACTACTTGAGCCACAGCGCCACTTCCGGTTTTCTGATGGTTAATTGGAAGTAAGAGTTTCACAGACTTTCCTGCCCAGGCTGGCTTTGAACCATGATCTTCAGATCTTAGCCTCCTAAGTAGCTAGGATTACAGCTATGAGCCACCAACGCCTGGCTAACCTCTTGTTCTTTACAACAAAACATATCATATTTTTAATTTATCCAGTCTCTCTAGTCTATTCATTAAAGTGAGACATACATTAGTTATTACAACCATTATCTAATATTTAACTTTTGATTATGATTAGGCAATAAAATCAACATTTAGAAAAATTAAAATCGAGTAACACTAAAAAGAAAACTGAAACTGGGTACTGGTGGTTCATTCCTATAATCCTAGCTATTCAGGAGGGACTGGGGTTTGAAGCCAGTCAGGCTAGAAAAATCTGAGATGCTGATCTCTGATTATCAACCAAAAAGACAAAAGTGGAGCTATGATTCAAGTGGGCCAGCTTTGAGTGGAAAAGCTAAGAGACAGAGTATAGGCCCCACTTCAACCCTAATATCAGCACCAAGGAGAGAAAAAAAAAAAAAGCAATGAGAGGAAAGAAAAAAAAGAAAAAACTGAGACAAGAAAGACACAAAAAAACAAAACAAAAAGAACAGACATGCACTGGGCCTTATACCTTTAATCCTAGCTACTCAGGAGGCTGAGATCTAAGGACCTTAGTTGGAAGCTAGCGTGGGCAGAAAAGTCCTTGAGACTCTTATCTCCAATTAACCACAAAAGGCTGGAAGGCCCGAGAACAACACGGCGGGGGGGGGGGGGGGGTGGGGAATGACACACAAAACTAATAGGGTAATTATGAAAAAAATCCCTTAAAGGAAATTCCAGATTTTAAGTCCAGAAAATGGGAATTTATGTTACATCAAGGCATATCAGTATGAAACTTCAGAATAGATTAAAAAAATTATCCTAAATGTTACTAGATGTAAGTTAAATTAACATAAAAATACCATAATCAACGGAGCAAATATTTCCAGCTACAAGTCACTAAACTCCCAAAGGTGGAATTTAATTTTCAGATTATTCTAACCAGCATGACCTTTACCCCGCCTTACCAGGTTCTGGGTCATGTCCACAGCAATGGAAGCCACTTCCTGATTGTATTCACAGATCAGCTTCTGAATCACATTAGTGACATCATCATTTTCTGTCTCTCGAACAATGTGCAACAGTTCCTGCATAATCGGCCTCACGTGGGGCTTCATATATTCCTTAGCTAATATAGTAAAATACAAAATTAGTCATGCACAGAAGGTAAAGAAACTAAATTGGTCACAAGGTCCAATGACAGGTCACTATCCATCTAAACTTCAAGATGAGTACTTGCTCTGCAACAGCTATACCAAATCAGGCTTATCACTACATTGATTTCCTCACAGGTAACAGAAAGATATGCAATTCTTCCCAAGAAAGGACTGACCAATCCAGTTGCAGTGGCTTACACTTGTAATCCTAGCTACTCTGGAGGCTGACATGTGAGCATATAAGTTAGAAGCCAGCCTTTGCAGGAAACTACACGATAGCAGGAAAAGCCCAGAAGTAGAGCTGTGGTTCAAGTAGCAAACTTGAGCAAAAAAGCTAAGAAACAGCAACCAGGCTCCGAATTCAAGCCCCCAAACTAGCAATTAAAAGAAAAAAAAAAAGACTGTCCAGCTGCATTGCCACCAACTTCAGACTCAAAGGAGAATTCCTAATTATACATATGTTCTGTCATCAGCATGACCTGAAGAACATAAACATTATCAGTAATAATGATGAGTACTTAAAAAAAAAAAATTATAGCCGGGCACCAGTGGCTCACACCTGTAATCCTAGCTACTCAGGAGGCTGAGATCTGAGAATGGGGTTCAAAGCCAGCCCAGGCAGGAAAGACCGTGAGACTCCTATCTCCAATAAACACTAGAAAACTGGAAGTGGCGCTGTAGCTCAAGTGGTAGAGTGCTCGCCTTGAGCTGAAGAGCTGAGGGACAGCGCCCAAGCCCAGAGTTCAAGGCCCATGACCGACAAAAAAAAAAAAAAAATTATGGGGGCTGGAAGGTGGCTCAGTGGTAGAGCGCTTGCCTTGCATGCATGAGGCCCTGGGTTCGATTCCTCAGCACCACATAAGCAAAAAGAAAAAAAGCCGGAAGTGGTGCTGTGGTTCAAGTGGTAGAGCGCTAGCCTTGAGCTGAAGAGCTGAGGGACAGCGCCCAGGTCCAGAGTTCAGGCCCCACGACCGGACCCCCCCCCCAAAAAAAATTATGTAGCCAGGCCCCCAATGGCTCATGCCTATAGTAGCTACTCAGAAGGCTGAAGTCTAAGTATCATGATTCAAAGCCAGCTTGGGTAGGAAAGTTAGTGGAACTCATCACCAATTAAGAAAATCCATAAGTGGAGGTGTGGCTCAAGGGATACTTCCTTGAGCAAAAGAGCTAAGGGAGAGCTTGAGGCCCAAGAGCAGCATAAAAATAAATACATTAATACATAAATACATAAATGCATGAATACATAAATAAGAACTGCAGTAAAAGGTGCTTTGGCTTACCCTGGATCTGGTTAGAAATTAATGACTGCAGGGCCAGGGCAGCTTCCACTTTGACAGGCATCTCTTTGTCTTCAATCAGGCTCTTCTTTGCTAACTCCACTGCACTTCCTAGGTTCTGTTCATTATGAAATTTCAAAGAACTAAAAGCATGCAGCACCCAGCAGGACTGTGTTCCCAAAAGAATCAAAGAAGGTTGCATCAGTACTAATGTTACACAGGTAAGAGCTCCAGAGTAACACTTTACTTTTATTTCTAGAGTTACCAAAAAGATGGAGACTTTAAGATACATAATAGAACTAAGGAAAACTTACTCGAGCTCGAAGATATCCCAGGTTAGATAACAACAAAGGAAATACGTGATTCTGAAGAAACAACTCAATTTGGTCCTTGAATAAACTTTTCTGTTAGGAAACAGAAATTAAACTTCAATGCAACACTTTCTAATAATTTATGGCTAATATGACTTGCATTTATATATTTCCCTTTTTTATACTGACATAATTTCTTTTATAAATAAGTTGCTTCCTGTCTTTCATTTCCTTTTTTAAAAAAATATACTTCCCCCAGGTGCCGATGGCTCACAACTGTAATCCTACTCAGGAAACAGATCTGAGGATCATGATTCAAAGCCAGACTGGGCAGGAACGTTCAGAAGAGGTACTATGGCTCAAGTGGTAGAGCACCTGCCCTGAGCTGAAGAGCTCAGGGATGGCGCCCAGGCCCAGAATTCAAGACCCATAACCGACAAAATAAATAAATAAATTTAAAAAAATACACACTTCCAACATGGACCAGTGGCTCATGCCTATAAACCTAGCCTACTCAAGAGGCTAAGATCTGAGGATCGTGTTTCAAATCCAGTCCAGGCAGAATAGCCCCTATGAGACTTATCTACAATTGACCACCCAAATACCAGAGGTGGAGCTGTGGCTCAAAGTGGTAGAGCACTAGTCTTGAGCAAAAGAGCTCAGGGACAGTACCCAGGCCCTGAGTTCAAGCACTACAACCGAAGGGGAGGGAATATATATATTTCCATTTACCATTTGTAAAATTGTTTTGACATATTGTACTGTTGTGTTTTTTGTTTTGTCAGTCTTGGGGCCTGAGCTCTGGGCCTGGACACTGTCTCTCAGCTCTTCAGCTCAAGGTTAGCACTCAACCACTTGAGCCACAGTGCCACTTCTGGCTTTTCCTGCTTCTGTGGTGCGGAGGAATTGAACCCAGGGCCTCATGCATGCAAGGCAAGCATTCTACCACTGAGCCACCTTCCCAGTCCCATATTATGTGTTTTAAAATAAGACAAATGGTACCTTAGATTAATTGAATAATGAGTGATTTTTGTTGAAATAAGAAATAATGCTAAATGGGGCACCAGTTGCTCTTGTCTGTCATTCTAGCTATTCAGGAGGTGGAGATCTGAGAATCACACTTTGATGCCAGCCAGAGCAACAAATCTGAGACTCTTATCTCAGGTAAGCAACAAAAGACAGGTAGTGGAGCTATAGCTCAAGTGGTAGAGTGTCAGCCTTGAGTAATAAAGCCAATTGGTATCAAGTTCTGAGTTCAAGCCCTAGTACTGGAACAAAAACAAATAAGTTATTTTGGATCATTTTTTATAGAGCAATAGTTTCATGATGAAAAACTAACAAAAGTAAAATTTCCTTTTTATGAAATAAGTAGGTCATCTAGAAGTAGTCACCAGTTTAAAATTATGGATAATTTCCAATATTTGCATCCTATTGAATAAAACAAATTTTGTTCATCTTAACCTTTAATAAAATCTCAGCTAGGGAACCAATCACATGCAGGGCTCCATCTTTCTTCCTAGGGTCAAAGTTCAGGTCTGTTAGGATTTGATAACAGAATGTCATCATTTTTGGCAACACCTAAAGAAATAGAGGAATCCATTTTAGTGCTCAGGAATTTGCATTGGATTATTACAATATCAGTATGATGCACAAATTTTCAAAAATAAAGATATTTTATGGTGTTTTTAGTAAAACAACTATATGCTCAATAAGAAAGGTATTTATTACAGGAAAATAAGCAAAGATACTTCACCCTTTTCTCTTTACTAGAACAACTAAACATCCTTAAGGGGACAGGCTATAATTAATAACAATACAATTTCCAGACACTAAGAATATGTTCATCAAACAGGCTACTTTTGTCTGGGATATAAGAGAAGCAATTACATACCTCTTTCCTCTTCCTTGCAGCAGTGTATAGCAGAGTCTGAGCCGCTGTGGTGGGAGAGGCATAATCTTCAAAAATATCTGTGATTTCAACATTAAATCACATTAGTGAACAAACTGTCACTTAGTAAATACATTTTATTACCTTTAAATAACTGTACAAAGGGGTTTGAATTCAACAAACCAGCTTTTAATATAGCACATCTCAATCAACGTCACCTCTCCCATCATTCTCATCTCTCCCAATCCCACCCTCAAGTAACCTGCTTCCATTTTCACATCTGCACTAACATCTGCTGTTGGTTATATTCTTTTTTGTTGTTGTTACTTTGAGGTTTTTTTTGGTCAGTCGTGGGACATGAACTCTGGGCCTGGGCACTGTCCCTCAGCTCTTCAGCTCAAGGCTAGTGTTCTACCACTTGAGCCACAGTACCACTTCCGGCCTTTTCTACTTCGGTGGTGCTGAGGATTTGAACTCAGAGCCTCAGGTATGCAAGGCAAGCACTCTACCATGGTGCTACCTTCCCAGCCCTATTGTTTGTATTCTTGATGGTGGCCATTCTACCTGGAGTTGTTTTGACTTACATTTCCTTTATAGCCAGAGATACTGAGCATTTCCTCATGTGTTTCTTAGCCATTTTTACATCTTCTGAGAAGTCTCTATTTAGCTCCTTTGCCCATTTATTAAATGGGTTATTAATTCTTTGGAGCTTTCATTTTGTTTTTTGTTGTTTTTTTTTTTTTTTTGGTCGGTCTTGGGGCTTGAACTCTGGGCCTAGGCACTGTCCCTCAGTTCTTCAGCTCAAGGAGAGCATGCTACTGCTTGAGCCACAGTACCACTTCCAGTTTTCTGGTGGCTTATTGGAGATAAAGAAGTCTCATGGACTTTCCCTGCCCAGGCTGGCTTTGAACCACGATCCTCAGATCTCAGTCTCCTAGTAGCTAGGACTATAGGCGTGAGCCACCGGCACCCAGCTGGAGATTTTGTTTTTTGAGCTCCTTGTATATTCTGGATATTAAGCCCTTGTCAGATGTGTAGGTGGCAAAATTTTCTCCCACTTTATAGGTTGTCTTTTGAGTTGAGTAACTATGTCATTCTCTGTGCAGAGACTTTTTAGCATAACGCACTCCCATTTGTAATTCTTTCTCCAATTTGCTGAGCCCCTGAAACTCTTAGAACTCAGAAAGTTCCTGGCTATGCCAGTTAAGTTCCGATTTTCTCCTACTCATTCCTATAGTATAAATAGATTGCCACCTGATCAATACTTTTCTAGAACACAAAATAAAACAGCTCCCCTGATACTGGGTTACAGCAGAGAGAAAATAAGGACATTTACTTATCAGCACTGTCAGATATACCATGGTCACCAAATTCTACAGGCTGCCCTTTCATTATGAGCATAATAAAAAAATAAATTTAAAAAAAAAACAATAAATCTAGCTGTTGCTATTTCATGCCTGAAACCCTAGCTACTCAGGATACTGAGATCATTGGATTCCAGTTCAGAGCAGTCCTAGGCAGAAAAGTCTGAAACTCTTATCTCCAATTAAGCAGGAAAAGGCCAGAAGTAGAGCTGAGGCTTAAGTGGTTGAGCACTAGCCTTAAGTGAAAGAGCCCAGTGAGAGTGCAAGGCCCTGAATTCGAGTACTAGCACCTCCCTCCACCACACACACACACACACACACACACACACACACACACA